TTACAAGCAACTAACCACCTTAATTTCTAGGGCACTCGCTCCTGGTCACAGCCATACTCAAGGCCATGAATCTCACTTTTCCTTCTACCTGGGATACTCTGCAGATCCCCCAAATCCTCAGCCACTGCTCCCTTACCTATCATGCTACAATCCCTCACCATTTTCTACTCTCTTCCAGGGTCACCTTCTCATCAAATGTCATTATTTATTTATTTGTTGTCTGTCTCTTCCTGGAGCCTAGAACCATTCCTAGCAAACAGTACCCAGAAAGCATTAGCAGAGGAATGAATAAATCATCTTTTATTCAGGATGACCAGTTGTCAGTTGCGGGGGTCAGTGTATCACCTCATTGCCTCTTGGGGTTACCACCAGCCAGTGTGGTCAGCAGCACCTTCATCTGACACATGAGAAGGTGAGTTAAGTGAGAAAGAGTAACAGAGAACTAAAAAAGTAAAAGAACTGAGATGCGAGGTTCTAGAGAACTTTTCACAATCTCCCAAGTTCTGGGTCAGATACAGTGCCAAAGCATTTATATTTTTATCATCTTTCCTGCAATTGGTCTCACAAAAGGAACTGTTAGTTTATTCTGGTATTTACTTAACCAGAATGTAATTAAGGATGTAGAAATTTTGCTTTCAATGACCCCAGGACCATGCTACAACTGGGAGAATTGCTTATTGTTTTGTTTGCTGATACTGTTTGTATATTCAACACAGATGATAGAGATATTTCCTGACTACTTTGCTGCCTATTACTTTGTTCTATTTTTAAAACAGCTCACATTTTGTTATTAATGATCAGGTAGTGTCGTTCTATCCAGGGTGACAGGTCCCAAGAATGAGGTGCCCATGGATGAAAAGGGAAAGAAAGAGAGACAAGAAAAACAAAAGAGGCAAAAGTCTGGGACCTGGGGGCTTACAGCGTCTCAGACTGCAGCCCGGATTACCAATCTCACTCACCTTATACTGAACAAGAACCAAGGGCATAGCTAGAACAAATGGGCGGATACCAAACATTTTAGTAATTAAAGCATTATCCTTCTCCAATTCTGTCTCTTATGCTGCTGGCAGCAATCTCCTGGTGGGCCTCCCACACCCAGCACCACGCTCACTCAGTTCAGCTGGGGGTTACAAGTTGACCACCAGTTATCAATCCACTACAATCACAGTCCTTACTTCCCATTAATTTTTATAATGCGTTGCAGGACTAAAAAATAGGGATCTCCTGCAATTCAAATACACTCTTATCTTCAGGTGAAAGGTTTCAGTTCATTTCTGCAACAATAAACAAATCATTGTGTGTCCTCAGTGCTTTCTAACCAAAGAATGTCCTTCTCCACAAGGTAGAAATAGATACTGTAACATATTTATTAATATACTCAAAAATGTGCTTTTAATGGTACATGAGGAGTATTCCCCCACTTTTCAATTAAAGATTATGTTTCTTGCTAAGTATAAGTCAAAATGGCAGTCCAGGGCTAACGAGGAAGTCTAATACTGGTTCATCTAAAAAGATAAGACTTTGCTGGACTGCAGATCCAAGGACGTCCTCCTTCACTAGGCACTTACCTCTCCAAATAAGCTCATCCTCATGGCTCTGAATACCATCTACCTGCAGCTCACTCCAATGTCATCAGTAGTGTCATCAGTCGGGGGTCCAGGAAGGAAAATAGAGCCCATGCTGGGCAAAGCAATGGAGAATTTAACACTGCAGTCAGGTTCAGAGATGTTGGAAAAGATGTGAGAGCAAACCAGGGAGGGTGAGATTGTCCAGAGCACAGCAACGTCAAGTTGCAACTCTCCCTAGGGGCTAGAGAGACCATGCATCTGTTGTAGGGAGGGACCAGGGCCCTAAGTTTAAGAATCATGGGAGTGGCACCATGGAGGAAGGCCTGCCTAATGGGAATTCAAATCACAGAAAAGATGCTGGGATGCTGACGCAGAAAGGACACAAGTTTGAGCCCAGCCTGGGCAATTTAGCAAGACCTTGTCTCAAAAAAATTTTTAAAATTAAACAGGGGATATTGCTCAGTGCAAAGCCCATGGGTTCAGTCTTTCCTGCTATCCCCTCCCAAAAAAGAAAGAAAAAACTAGAGATGCCACCACTGCAGAGAGAATGGGAAGTACTGGCTTTCCCCCTCTTCTTGACTGCTGTCTGCCAGTGCCTTCCATGGACCAAACTTTACCAGAGCCCACTTGGCAAGGAAGCTTGGGAATGTAGTTTCCAGGTGTCAACCTTAGGCATGCCACTCCCCCTTCTTCCTGCCCCCCCCATCCATACAGAGGACAGTAGGGAGGGTTGGAGATAATGAGAGTCCAACAGCCAAATAATGGTCTCTCCTCTTAAATTAGTATTTCCAATTTAGATTTCTTGGCCTCTGGGCCCTTCCATTTTATTCGTTTACCTGACACCTCCCCTTGACTAACAGTCCTAGCACCATGGCCCAAAAGGAACCATGGTTCACCCCCAGCCAATTCCTTTCCGATGATCTGCTCACTGCTCAGCCAGTGTTTGTCACCTTCAATCCTTTTTACTCCCTTACTTCTTCCAAACTTCTGGCAAGCCTGGTTGGCTATGCCTCTCTGAAAAGCTCCCCTGTAGTCCTGCCCGTCTCCCTTAGACCACTTCGGCCAGGCTACCACAGTTTCCCCTGGGTGACTATGACAACTGTGTCTCTTTATTGTGTCCTATTGTGTCTCTTTACAATACAGATGCCAAGGGCGTTCCCATAGACCTTGAGAGCTAGGGGCTTTATTCTGCCTGTAGGAACCACTGAAGAGAGTGACAAAACTAATTTACATCTTAATGGAATCGGCCTTGCTTTCTGTGGGAAGTAAAATATAACGTAACAAAAGCGGAAGAGGGAAGGCCTGTCAGAAGGCCCTTATGCTTACGCTCAGCCCTCTTCTCTATCACTGTCCCCTTCTTCCCAGCCACTGGTCTCTGTCCTGTTCCCCCAACCCCTCCTTAAGGCCTTCCCACAGCCTGTTTTGTCCTGACTTTGGCCCAACTGGTTAATCACCCAAGCTTTAGCCTTAGCCCTTTCCTAACCAGCCCAAGTTTTCATGATGGCTGCTCACAACTCTCTCCTGTGGGCACAAAGTTGGACAGCCCTTCTGAGCCCAGAACCTCAGGTGTGGCCAGATAACTCGCCCCGGCAAATGAGATGGGGATGGCAGCGACATGTCACTATTGGGAATTAAGTTTTAAGAGCCCTTGTGTGCTTCAGCTCTTTCCCTCCTACCTTAGTTACTGGCAGTGTCCGGATAATAGCTACTCCACAAGGCTGAGCCCCATGGTGAGGATGAAATTATCCAGAGCACAACTTTCTGCCAGACCATAGCTTGAGCAAGGAAGTCTGTGCTGCTTCAAGTTGCTCAGAGATTGTTATAGCCTCACAGCTCACCCTACTGTTAGTCTTCTAGTCCTGTCCATGTGGAAATTCCCACCAACTGATGATCTCTATCTAGAAGTTTCATTTACTGATTTTGTTTCCACTGTGCACTCCCTCCATGGCAGGTCCACATGGGCTGGATCTGTACAAGTGAGTTATTCACACACCTCCAGCTTCTTCAAATGTCCTGTGCAGCCAGTAGGTAAATATGTGTTGATTAAAATTCTGGTGGCTTACATATATGAGCAAAATGAACACTATTTTGACAATGGAACTGGAACAAACCTATCTTATTATGCTCAGCATACACAAGCACTAAAGTCCAAAGTTTCACTCTATTTGTGGGCTGGGTCAGTGCCTTGGGTTACACCCTTCCAACTCATTCACAAGAATCTAAGCTGCTCTCCAAGCTGCCAGGATTTTTTGGTCAGAAAAAAATCTGGCTGAAGACTATAATGTAGCAGCAGAACTAAAAGAAATGGAACTTTAGAATCCAAAGAAGTTACCCAGAGTTAGGAAACAGGAGGACAAAATTCATTTTGATACTGATTTTACTGCTAAGAGAAAAACAGAAAGTTTTGTGTGCTGACTAAATCTAATTCTACACATGGTCCAAGTCTCAAGTTGCACAACTGTCATAGATTACCACTAGAAAGAGCCTTCCTGATCGCTCAACGCAGACCACTCCACTTGCAGTCTGGCTTGATTCCTTTTTATTAGAAACCTCTCAGGATCTCACTGTTGCCCGCTTGGTACTAACGCAGAGTCTCGTGAGAGAGACTGCTGCGTGAAGTCACTGTCCTTTTAAATCTAGTATATTTAAAAATATACTTCTACTACCTCATTATATAATGGCAATAAGGCTATAAAGAAGATCCTGCTTGTCAAGTTAACCATGGGATGATTTTAGTTTGTTTGTTTTTGCTCCTCACTTAAAAATATTCCTCAGAGTTGCAAAATGTTTTTAAGTATTGAAGAAAAAAGCCTAAAAACTAAGATTGTCTGTGCGTATTCTTACAGGAACCAGTACCCTTTGTAGGACATACTGGTTTCCTGAGGCCTTCTGAGTTATTGTTATTGTGTCCTAATTTAGTTTCCAACCTCATCAATCAAGAGCACCTCATCTAATGTAAAAAAAAAAAAAAGTACACTACCGAAACATCAAATCACTGAAAACTTGATGTGAAATGACCAACTACTGACATTAGCTGAAATCAGTGTCCACCTCAATTCAATCATACTAACCAGATCCTAAAGCTGACATTCAGGCACTACACACCTGCAGCTAAGACTCATGAGAAAAAAACATTTTAAAAATATGCACAAATGCCATTTCCCCCATGTGCTAAAAATGAGACAGCTTAAACGCTCCAAGTCTCAACACAAAGCCATCTTCAGACAAGGGAGATCATTTGCACATGGTTAAGGAAACAGGAAATTTCCACATTGGTTTTAGTATTTATATTTTACCAAAATTTTTCTGAATTTAGCAATGGTTACTAACCCTTTTCATAGTAGTGTTTAGTACTTCTGAAAAAATCAAGAAGAAATAAACTAAGCAGAAAACGTGCAGTTGAAGAAAACTGGATATCAGTCTATACAGTGATTTACTTTCGGCATGACAGACTTTATTTTGGCACTTTAACAAATATTTTGCTTTACAGCAGTGACAAAATATTTGCCAGAAAAATTCTTTTCCTGGCACGGATATTCCAAGCAAGTTGTTCTAGGAATAGAATTTCACTCTGCTTTGCACAGTTAGAGGTAAACCCACTACATTCTTAACCTCTGTAATGAGGGCTATTGTGCGCGGTATCTGAAGGACCTATCGGTTCCTTTTAATTACTCTAAATAAAGTGAATCGAGTCTGTAAGTGGTGGGGGAGGAGATTTGACAATTAAGGCCATTAAGAATTTAAGTAAACACTGCTTCAGTGTTGCTTTAAAACTTTTCTTTAAAAATGAGTTCGGTGGCAATCCCAGGGAATGTTTTCTAAATGAAGCATTCTAACTTTCTTAAAAGCTTACATATCGAAAAAGTTGCTGTTTTTGCTACCTTTTTCCTACTTCCAGGGCTCAAAATTTAAAACAAAATTAATAACATGTAAAAAGGAAATGTTCAGAACAGTAAGGACCCAGGCAGGGTACCCTCCTCTCCTCCTGAGGCATCACTCTTTCCAGCTATTTTGATCCCAAGCAGCAAGGCCCTCATTTTTAACACAAACAGCACACTTTGCAAGGTAAATCAATTCACAGGACTAAGCCTGAGATAGCTACTTCCGGAAAACCCCCCTTCAGTTCTTTGGAATTTACAGTCTAAGAAGTTATTTGCAAAAGCAGACATCTGTCTCAATACTGCCACCAGCTACCCCACAAAGGTAGCAAACTTCGGAATTCCCTGGCAACCTCCCAATATCTGTACCAAGATATACACAGGACAATGCACTCGGCTTTCCTCTGGCCAATTCGAGAATCTGGTAATAAACAGCCCCACTGACGGGCTCTTTGGTCTTGATTTACAGACACTGTGGAACACGCAGAATCAAACCCCAACATTCTTGAGAGCAGATGGTCATCAGCAAAGGGGAGATGTACATTTGATCGAAAATGTACAAAATTTATAACAGTGACATTTTCAATTAGGCCACATGATTTATTCAGTAGTTTTTATGTTCCCAAATTACAATTTATGTCTATTCATAAGACTACAAAAGTTACCATTAGAATTGTCTGTGCTTATAAAATACCAACTTTTTTAAACTGTTATATATACTCAACACCAGTCTGTGACAAGTTACATAGAATCATAGGCACTTCAAAGGCTTAAAAGGATGTTTACAACTTAAATGCATTTTTAAAAATGAAAACCGCTTTTTTTCTTTAAACCCCTCCTTGTACCTTCAAATTGCAAGAAATTAACAAAAACAGTGGCCAAAGGAATCTGCAGCAACTTTTCAAAATACTGAGAGCATCTTTGGGCTTGCTGAGGCTTGTCAGTAACTTCCATCAAATCCTCTGAAGAGAAGATCTGATCAGATAGATTGGACTAAACATTTTGTAGTAATAATCCAATTTTACACATAGATTTGCTGTTATAAATCTGCCTGAAGCTACAGGTAATGAAAAATAAAGCAAGTGTAAAATGGATAGTCTGACATTTAAAAATTTACACAAAGTGGAGGTTAAAGTTTACATATTTGAAAATCACATATACACTAAATTACTATTATCTGAATCATCCAAAGACAAATTGCACCATGACAGCTACAGAAAGGCATGGGATTCAGTTTGGCTTGTAAGGGGATAAGAAGGGAGGGCAGAAAAGAGGGGACATCAGATAAATTAACAAAGTAAGACCAACTTGGTAAGGTCCATCTGAGACATGCTAACACAAATGACATAGCTTTCATCTTTGAACCATAGGACAAAACAATCGTATTTTCGCATAAAAAGTTTAACCGATTCCATGAACATCAAGGGTTTTCATAACATATTTTGCCACTGCTATTCACAGAACACTGCAGATGTTAAATTTTAATTTTATGTCTTTCTAAAGAAATACATGAAAAGTTTTAAATACAATGGGATTTTATCATTAAAGTGCCAGGATGGCTCTTTAATGAAAAAAACAAAAAACAAAGATCTTCATTATTCTATGCAAAAGCTTTATTTTGAAAAGTTCAGTGATCTCAGAAAAAGAGACACTAAGTGGGAGTTTTATGCGTAAAACTCCTTAGTAGGTGCTTTCTGGTAAGCAGCACTGGATGGTTTGCGCTCTCCAAGGTCATAGCTCCCTTCGTCCTTCTTTCTCATGCGGTACACCAACAGCAGGATGAGGAAAATCGCGAAGAGGAAGCCAATAACTCCACCAGCAATGACAGCTGAAACACGGCAAAGCACGACCACTTAAGACTAAGATTCATGGGTTGCAGAAATTAGCTTTGTCAAATCAAATCTATTTACACTTTTATAGAAGGCTTAATTTGAAAACCCAATTTAAAAAAAAACCCTGGATTCAGTAGAGGTAATTATGCAAATCTGATATTCCTCTGGAAGGTATGATAATACCTCCTTTGATTAGTATTAATATCACCCAAAAGCCTCAATAAGAAAAATCCAGCTTATTCCATACTTTAAATGCTTTCGTCTTTTCAGTACTCAAATTTCATATCCTAATCTTCTAATTGCTTTTCAATGAAAACACAAAACATGATATAATTGGCTAAATTTTTTTTACAGTAAATATGAAGTAAAGTATGCAAACTTCTTTCTAGTCTTGAATTTGAGACTATCATTTTCAAGGATTAGCTGTTCTTAAATCTTGCAAAGCTTGCTCTTTGAATCAAATGTTGGTACAAGTTGAGCACCCCTTACCCTTTCGAGTATGGACATTTTTGGAGATTGGGATATCTACAGATACATAATGAGATATATCTTGAGGAAGGGCTTTAAGTCTAAAAGTGAAATTTACGTTTTTTAACACCTTATACACACAGCCTGAAGGAAGTCTTATACATAATATTTAATCAAAGTTTATTTTCTATCTCAAAATAAAAAAAGTTGGGGATGTTACTCATTGACGAGTTGCATAGCATGCATGAGGCCCTGGGTGCAGTACCCAGTACTGCCCCCTTAAAAAAAAGTGTCCTGGATTTTGGATCATTTTAGATTCTCAGATTAGGGAAGCTCAAACCGTGCCCTCTACTTCACTGAAAAAATTGTAATTAGACACAACATTCTTAACACTTTGAGCAGTATTTGTGTCAACTGCCCTCCCCACAAAGACCACTTCCTCTTAAGTTTTCTGTGAAATCAGGGATGAGTAGGAGTAAAGGTGACCTTTACACCATGCCAGTCCCACAAACCCAGCTCCTCTGGATGTTCCGGACCAGTTCAGATGACTCTTCAAGGCTACTTTGTAACTTTGGCCTCTACCCAATAACTGGCTAAGGGCTAGGCTGAAGGAGCTAGCAGAAAACAAAGCTATCCTCTAGCTTTTTACACCAGCACGATGGGCTCTCAGGACTGCTTCCAGAAAGGAGGTGATATTTAGCAAACTTTGCTACACCTGGGAAGACCCCAAGACAAACCACACCTACACTTAGGCATCCTCCCACCTGACCACCAGCCAGTCGCTCACCTGCTAGGACTTCTGTGCGTTTAAACAGGTTGTCTGAGTGTTTCTCAGTATACACGTTTTTATTCTCTTCAGCAGGGTTCATTTTCTTTTCTGTGTCAGAGAGGTGAACTTCCCCTTTATCAATTTCTTCAGGTGACTGGTGTGGGAGAAAGCAAAAGCACTGTGTCAATGTTTTGGAAATGTGTGGAAGGTAGAAATAATAAACGAGTATATTCCCGAGTTCTGCCTGTTTTAACAATAGTCTAGTAGGAAATAATTAGAATAATATTTTGCATGACGTCTATCTCAGAGAGTAAGGCTCATGATGGACTCCTATCCTTCACGATGCTGTGTAAGACACATCAGGTAAACAGGCAGGATAGACAACCAGGGAATTCATAATTTTAATGACATGGTTAAATGTTTTCATTGACATTTCCTAAAATCTCTACTATCTCACCACTTTGTGACTTCAGCTGCTCTCACCCAAGAGCATCAACCCAAATTCTCCTTGACCTTGACTGAGTCCATTTCTCTAGAGCTCAGTGTCCTTCTCTAATGAAAGACACCCCCAGGTTCCTGGACAATGCACATTACTGACAATCAGCATACAGTCCTAATTCTCATGGCCTCATTTCCATTCAGCCCATAGGACACCAACATTTAACCTGCATCTCCTTGAAGTCTACTCGTCAATTCTGAAAGAGTAATTTACTGCCAAACCAGATCAGCCCTCTCTTCTACTTTCACTAATGGTACTGTGTCTTGGGGGATCCTAAACTTACTACAGTGTTATCTCAGTTTACAAATTTAAATTTGTTTTCCCATTTGGGGGATAGTGGCTGTGTTTGTGTGCAGAAGATGGCCATGGTCATGTTTTTCACTCAATACAGAGTTTGTGAACACAAGGCAATTTTTGCCTAACGCTTTTGTTTGTGAACTAAATAGGTTGCAAAGAGAAGCACTCGTGAACTGAGACATTCCTGCACTTTGGCATATTTCATCTTGTATTTTTCTACTCACAGTCTCATCAATTTGCCTGTCAATCCCTTCAGTGAAGCTCCTTCCTTGGATTCCCATTTCCACACCTCTGTGCAGGTAGCACATCCTGTCCAAGTTCCTCAACATCCTTAGGAACACACATCTTAGGCAGTTTCTGGTCTTCTCCAGCCCATCCCTTTGCATCCCAATAAACCACAACAGGCCATCTCCACAGCCTCTTGCTAGCTAAAATTGACAGTTAACATCCATTCTTAAGTCAAAGCAGTTGTTCTATCCCAAATATAGATTTTTCTCACTTCTTTCATTACCCACTTGTTCTTAATGAAACACTCTCTAACCATCTGCCCCTCTGAAACTACAAAACACTTGACATTCTGCCAGTCCACAAAGAATCCTGTTGCCTTTCTAAAATTCAGCCCCATCACACAGGCCATCTCGTGTCATTCACTCACGCATACAGTGAAATCTGAATTATCTGAAAGCATTCTAAAACAGGCCCTGTGACTACAGATTCTGTTTCAGTTAGTCTGAGGTGCGAAGTGGCCCTGACTTGTAGTGTTGATTAAAGTTTTCTGGATGATTCTATGGTACCAGAACCACCACTTTTGAGAAATTTAGTTCAAGTGAGTTGTCTTTTCTCCATCATGATGAAGTTTCCACTGGTCAGCATTACTGATTAAAAACACTGTCAATTCCACTGGGCTATAAAGACAGTAAATCTTTTTTAACTCTACTAGTCTTCCTACAAAGAACAATAATCTTCATCGGGACTTTACAGAGTCTAACATGCCTGAGATGGTCAAACGATTGCTGTTTGAAGAAAGATTTATTCAAAATAGTGGCCTGTTGCTTAAGTCTACAGGGCTAAAGTACCTAAAAAGAGACCTCACCTTCTTGGGCTGCCTCAAAGTCACTCTTAGTTTTAGAAAGGACCACAGCTAGACAAGGGTCCACTTGAACTTTATGGGATGTAAGATCAGTGGGTCTCTGTCTCAGGATCAGAACATATCAGGCTTCCCTGGAAGACGGTATATGATAAAAGTGTGACAGAGTGGCCCTCTTTCCTTTCCAAACCACAAGGAAAATCTCTACTGTCTAAACTTTAACTTGCCATGACTTACAAAATACAGCACCACAAAGAAATTATCATTTCACTGTCACTCAACATGAACCTGAATTTCACTATTTTCTGCACTGCTATGGCAGAAGACAATAAGAATGGTTTGCCCAGGCCTTCCTGTAGCAAAGCAAAGCAGAAGAAAGAAGCTCATTAACCATCGTTTGCCTGAGTTTTCTCCACTTTCTTCTGACAGAAAACCTATCAGTAACTGGTTACCTAGTACAAAAGACAAATACCTCAACTTATCAGAGAGTGGATTATCTGAGTCCTAATCTAGGAACCTTGTGCTGCTCATCAACCCTGTTTTTCTACTAGAGGTTATGAAAAAGAGGAGAAAACTCAAGTAAGTAGATGGACTTGTGTCTCAGAGAGAATTAAAAAAACTCCTTTGGGAAATTAGATGCATGTAGTAGCTACTGCAATATTAGACAACAAATTTACTCCACATTATCTTTATCCCATTGTAATGATAAATCACATGGGCTTTTTGAGTTCCTAAAGTCATCTAACAGCTGACTTGTTCAGTTCTCTCTGATCCAACTTTGGGTCCAGCAGGAAGCAAAAAAAAAAAGTATGCATTCCAGGATCTGAGTATGTGGGTATGGGAGGTCCCCACAGAACTGGAGCCATGTGCGCTTAGAGGCATGGTCTATCAGCCTGAAGGTGTTCTGGATGGAACGTTCTTTTGTTTAAATTTAAATTTTTATTGTATAGAAACACAGGCTTGAAGAAGAAATCATTTCACAGTATAGAACCAATCTAATTGCTGTAACTCTAGCATACATGTGCAAAATGAAATTATGAGAAAGGCAGCAGAGATAATTAAATGAAGCCAATTAAAGTTCTGTCACACCATGCTTGGCTATTTGGATGCCATGGAAATGGAAGAGAGCAGAAGTTTACGGGAGATTCTCTGCATCAACAAGTAACTGCTTTGTTTTTTTTTTTTACTTTTTAGCCACATAAATTTATAACAAACTAGATACAATATCTGTAACAATGACATTAATGCCACTGTGAGACCCATTCAAAAGCAAAATCTGCACTAATGGTATCCTAGAGGCAACGAATACAGCTGCACTGTGTAACCACAAAATAGAAGACTAAATCACTATTATCATTGTTATTCATAATCAATATTGCCATTATCAGTGGCTTGATGATGATGTGATATATAACAAATACATCTCCCATGACTGCATGAATTTTTATTGTTACACTAAATATAAATAATAGTAAGAATATAAATATACTAAAAATGTTACAGGAACTTTTGTCCCTAGACTCATCTGCCTAATGATTACACTGTTTATCTCAATTTGATGCAATTATTTATTCAAGTCAAACTTAAATCCATTTCCCATCTGGTTTTTGTCAATAGACGAGAAATCTATGTCAAATTGGGTTTTGGTCAGGATAGAACTCTACCACTGAAAGCCAAAACTGACCTAGGAGGGTTTTTTAGCTCAAGTTAGTGAGGTTTAATGGTTGCTGACTTCAAGAGATTCAGTTTTTCTTTTTTTTTTTGTACCAGGAATCAAACTCAGGGTCTCGCCCTTGCCAGGCAGGCGGTGTGCTACTGAGCTACATCCCTGGTAAGAGATTCAGTCTTGGGATGGAGTCACATACAAATGTGGTAAGGGCCATAGTGGATAATAAACACCTACTTTGCTGTGTTCAGCTGTCCTATCAGCAATCATACCTACTTTTCCTTTCTTCCTTTGTCCTTTCTTGTGTTCATTCAACCTAGACAATAGTGGAGCAGCTACCATGCATGAGCCAGAACATGCTAGCTACATCTGCCTGAGTCCTCATGGAGCTTTGCCCTGCCTTCTCAAAGCCTGGCTGCTGAAGTCAGCCAGCCAGTTCTAGCAACTGACCCTTCTTAACCCTACAGGATCATATTAACCCAGAGAGGGCTGACCTCTGTTGCTCCACATCTGCAGAAAACCATACAGCTATGCTCTTCCCCACCCTAGGACATGCACTAGGACAAGAGAGAAAAGGACGAGTGCTCTGCTAAGAGCAAGAAAGGCCACCTCTGCTCCTGCCTGCAAGAGGGCACTTCTTACTCTAGAATGGCCATGTCACTGCTTTTACAAGACAGCCTTCCATAGCCGTCTGTTATAAAAGCTTTGAAGAATCTGACTTCTAATCAATAGATGGGTAAGTTCCAAAATGTGTTCTTGTGTCTTTAAGTTTTCATAAGAACCAGGCCACTCCTGGAGTACCTGCAAAGTCTACCACTGCAGCTGTCACCACACATGCTCATCTGGAAGACAGGCTTGGTCCCTTCTGCTCCACCAAATTCAATCAACATTTCCAGAATGCTAACTCCATCTAGGTGCCACATTACACTCACATTTAATCCTCTTAATGACCCAAGGAATTTGACTGGATCTAGGGCTTGAAACCTGAGGCCATCTCTAAGCTTTTAATATGCCTTTTCCAACTTAAATAGTCCTCCTATTAGTGGATAGTCAACTAATTGCAGTACAACGCTGAGGCCCAGGCCATGAGCTCATAGTTTTCAGTAGCTAGTAACTTTGTTCTGCTCTAAAGCCAATAGTCTCATTCTGAAGATGCCAGCTCACGAAAAGAATGAATACAGATGTATCCAGCTTCAGCAGCAGCAGAGAAAGAGGCCTAAATTTACATGCCACTGAGGGCAGACCCGCCAGGGCATGGAGACTCGGACCAATTCAAGACACTATCGGGAGTCTCATCCCATAATCTGTTGCAGCATGCGTAAGGTTTGCAATGGTTTTAATTCAGAACATTCTCCAGGAAATGAAATTTTTGTCTTGATTTGAGTCAAATAAATAAGGTTTTGCTTCTTAACTGAGCTTAAGAAGTTCCTTAAGAAAAAGTGCCATGTGAACAACATCCATACATAAATTAGGCTTGGGAGATAAAAGTAGGAGTTGAGATAAATGACCCTAAAGAAAAAGCAAGAGCCATTTACAATATAACAAGAGACCATTTGTCCTCGCATAATTTGATGTAGGGCTTCTTGAAAGGTCTGTTCTGCATGGTGGGAAAAAAGAGCAGCATTTACAATAATGCAATAACGCAAGCAAAACCAAATGCACCTTCGTCTGAGCAGGTATCCTGTCGTGTGTCTTCAGCGTCGTGGTTTCCACTTTGGGAGCAACACTAGTGAATGGTATCTTTGGAAGCAGTGGTCGAGACGTCGTCAGCTCTGGACTTTCTACATCCTCATCAGCTCCTAGAAAATAAGCAAAGGTGAGCATGCAAATCTTAGCACAGAGTTTTACATTAGCAGGCAATACTTTCTAAGGCTGATACTGCCAAGCCAGGGTCCTTCAAAGTACCAGTCCTTAAGAATTTACAGCATAAACCTTCCTGCAGTCTTTACTGTGATAGTGTGATTTTAAAGGAGCTCTACAAGTAGCTTGGTATTTTTTTCTATATCTTTAACCTTGCGTGTTCAATCTCTTCTGCCTGAAGTTTTCTCCTGTTTACACTAAAATATCCTTTTTGTGTTGTAAAACCATAAAACAAAATACAAAACGCAATCTTTCCCACAGCTAGCTCCTTATCTCATATCGAGCTCCTGGCTTCTCTGCCCTTGTTATAGCTGACTTTCCCACAGGTGGCATGGATGTGCTGGGTCCTTTCGTCATCATCATCCTCTCCACTCTGTGCTCCATTCCTCCCAGGGATTCCTTCCCTGTCATCACACTGGCGATATTTTTGGTTAAGGTCACCAGTGTCCTCCATGTTGACATATCCAATGGCATTTTTCAAAGGGTACTCAACCAATCAAATATCCTCATGATCGTTTGCATGAAGTGTCCTCCACAGGTTCACATGTTAAAGGTTTGGTCCTTAGCTCATGGTGCAATTGAGAGTTGGAGGCTAGCCAAGTCCCAGTCACTGCAGGCATGTACTTGACGGGGATATCGAGATGCTAGCCCCTTTCTGTCTCCCTTCCATTTCCCAGCTCTCTCTGCCACAGGCTCCCACCATGATGTGCTGGTTTACTACAAGCCCAAAAGTAAGTAGCAAATCAACCATGGACTGAATCTTCCAAAACAATGATCCAAAATAAACATTTTCTCTGTGTAAGATGATTATCTCGGGTATTTCATTATACTGAGAGAAAGCTGACTAATATACTCCTAGTACCTCCATTGGACACTGCCAACTGCCATGTCTTTGATACACCTTGTTTCTTTGGGCTTCTACAACTTCCTCGTCTTCCCTTACTTCTCTGGCTATCTAAGTCTCCTCTGCAGATTTATCATTCTCTACTAGAATGCCAACTAATACAAGTTGGTTGAGGTTTTTTAATCTATACTTTCTCCCTCCCTTATACCCATGGTTTCAATCAACCATAAAAACAAAGATGATACCCCAATTTACATTGCTAGTCTTTGCCACCCCTCTCAAATTCAGACCTATATAACCAACGAACTGCTTGACATTTTCACTTGAACGACTCAAAGATATCATATACCTCTAACATGTTCAAAACAAAACTCTCCCCTACCTTCCCCACATGCACCCTGTAGCCATCTCCCATATGAACTTGCAGTGGCTGTAATCCTCTCTCTGCATTCCAGATTCCGGACTTTCTCCTCCTTATCTCCATATGGAATGCTTCACTCCATCCCACTGCTTCTGTCTTCTCAGTGTCTCTCAACTCTGACATCTTTCTATACTTTCGGGAGACACTACCCTAATTCAACCCACTGTGACCTTGCCATGAACCCCTATACCTTCCTTCTTCATACGCAGGTACCATGGGATGAATATAAGATGCCTCTACCCATCCATGTGTGGTCTAGCCTTGGCCTACTTTTCCCAGCTTCCTCAAGCACCACCACCACTATTGTCCCCTGGGTGCTAGCTATGGTGCCCTGACCCTTCTACAAGAAGCTCTCACTTAGTTAATAATTCCTAATTCAGCTCCAGGCCTGTTATGATTTATATCTAGACTCCCCCCACCCCAAGCCTTATGCACTCAGAGGTGGGGCTTTTGGGAATGACTGGATCGTGGGTGTGTGATACTGCATCATGGGTATATAGCACTGGATTAGTCCACTGACTGGTTTAGCATTGTTCTCGGTGTAGATGATGGACTTACTGAAGAGGGAAGACTACACCTTGGGTGTGGGGTGGCACCAACCAATAGGCTTGAAGCCTGGACAGAATAAAAAGAGAAAGAAGAAGGGAGTCTCGCTTCTTCCTGTCTGGCATGTCACAGACTGTTTCTCCTTTGCCATGCCACCCTGCCTTAAGCCAGCCAACTAGGGACTGAAATCTCTACAAACTGAGCCAAGACAAACCTTTCCTCCTTTAACTTGTGGGTATCCGGTATTTTGCCCCAGCAACAAGAAAATAACTAAACAAGCCCTTGGGGAAAACACACCTTCCCTATTATCTCGGAGCTCTTTGTTAAGCAGCTTTTTAGCACCATCTTTCTTACCCTACCTGCATTTATCACAACTTTATTATTATGTATTTATTCATGTAACTATTGACTTTTAGATTTGGATCTGTTTTTGCTATGATGAGCCTAATACTGTGTCTGGGGCATTACAGGCTCTAATCTGGTATTCCTAGCTTGGCACTTTGGGAAAGGGGCTTTCTATCAAAAGACAGCTTGAGAATTTCTGACATTCAAACATAATATTGTTTTTAAATTAACCACTTCTGAATTTTGTAATAATTTAGAATAAGCTCAAACTCTATAACTCAAACTAACCTGTTTCTTTAGATGAGAATGAATGATGAATACCTCTAAATTCCTTAAATCAAAGAATATAAGTATTTCCCACAGAATCATAAGCATGTAATAAGGAGTTCTGAAAATAAGAGGTAACATGCTGGAAAGAGTGTAATGGCTACAGGTTATTTCTTAATGTATCAACTTTAACTTCGGGACACATATACTCATTTTTATAAGGAAGAACTGGCAGGAAATACTGGGATAAATACAAGGTCTGACATTTAAAAACCAAACCACATCGATCTACTTCGCCTTCTAGAATTTGTTAGCTCTGCAATCTTGGGCAAGTACTATTTGTGTCTTATTTTCTTCACTTGTAAAATGGGGAAAATAATAACTTACTCTTAAAATTGCACATACCGCCATGTGTCACTAACAACAGGCTTACGCAAAAATATTGTTAACTGACCTCTTTGTCATGGTAACAACATGGACTTACATAAACCTAGATGGCATAGCCTTCTACACATCTCAACTACATGGTGTCTAACTATAAAACATATATGGTAGAGACTACTGCTCCCAAGACTATAACGAACAAACACAATGTAAAACTAAATCAGGAAAAAGAGAAAATGATGCAATCAAGAGACCTAATAACACAGGCTGTGTGAGGCTGCTATCGGTATTACAGCAGATTATTCAGAGTAAACATTTTCCAATAAGCAGGAGTACACCCTAAAATAATGATAAGACATAGTATAGTAAATACATAACCACTAACATAGTTTTCATTATCACTGGTAAGTATCACATACTGTACACAATTATGTATGCTTTATTTTCATATATCTAATAGCACAGTAGGCTTCTTTACACAAGTATCTCCACAAACACAGGAGTAATGTACTGCACTACAACATTATGACAGCTGTGATGTCACTAGGCAACGGGAACTTTTCAGCTCCCTGTAATCTTATGGGACCACTATCATGTATTCAGTCTACTGTGAACCAAAATGTCACGATGGGGTGCATGACTGGGAATCCATCAAAGATGTAATACATTACCTGGAAGCATTCTGTATATATGCTATGTAAGAACAAGTCTTTAATAATGATAGTTCCAGCAATACACTGCTGTTTTTGTATCAGCTTGACTATCCATCAGTTTTATACTAGATAGACTCGATTCGTTACTACAATGACTCATTTTCTTATGAAGAAAAGAATGTCGATGAGAAATGAAAATGTTCATTTAAGGGCTTTCCATACTCCCTGTTTCACAAGAGTTCCAAACGTGAGTCACCAAAGTAGGAGTGGGACAAGCTGTGTGTGAAAGAAGAGATCCCAACAGTGGATAATCCCCCCTCCAACGGGCATTTTTAAAGTTGGACACATATGCAGAATGTGCCTCAGCTACTGTTATTATCTTTAATGAAAAGACAAGCTCCCCTACTCAAATGAGAACTGAGGGAGCCTCTTTGATCACCTCTCAATAACTCTCAGCTCCTGCTATAGGCTCAGTCTGAAATATCCCACTTTGGATTGTTTGCATTTACTATTGCAGCCAGTGTGGACCTCATCCTCCCTCTGTAGTCTTTGTGAGCTCCCCATTATTGGAGCTGTTTCCATTCTGTGCTTGCACTGTCCACTGTACCCCACTCTAACGTGACAGGTATTATGAAGTGGGCCACTTAGAGGTGACTAGAACATGAGGGCTGTCATTCTTTGTAAAGAATATATTTTCAGGAATGAAATTTAGGGACACAGAAATGCACAGATGAATATGCTGAGTAGAATTATCTCACCACTGGAGAAAACATGATTAAATTTTATTTACCAAAGTGTTTCTAGACTAGTGCCTGGACCCCTGTGCTGTAGGTGTTTAATAAATGCTTGTAGCATGAGTGAAAAACTATCCTCTTCATCTTTTCATCTTCTAGTAAGTTTTTCATTTTTGACAGGACTGTACACTAAGAACTCTTTCGTGCTTTCTGAATGTTCCTATTTTATAGTATCTTGTTCTTGTTTCACTGTTAAAACATCTTATCTCTTTGAAGAAAGATTTTTAGAGCAGTGACAGAGATTTTTATTCTTGGCCAAGAATGAGAAAAATGGAAGATAAAACTCACCAAATTCTCAAACCATTGGTGATGAGGAGGTTATAAAGTATCGAAGAAATGAGGAGATGGATAGGCTGATAAAAGGAGGAATATTCACATTTCTTTGGGAATCTGGGTGCTACCCTTTTCTGTTCCTTTTATAGTTTCTTTCCAACTGCTATCAACTGTCATAGTGCCAGGGAGTTTGTCAGTTATCACACAAGTAGATTATATGACATTGGAGGTTGTGTGGTTGCCACTCTGGCATCTGTTAGATCCAACAAATCTGGCCAGCTCTCTCTGAAAAGGAACCTCTGACCTACAGGCATTCTGTCCTCAAATAAAACTAGAGCAGGGTAACAGTATCAGAGTAATGTTGGCTTAACAAAATACTTTCTTTTCTTAAAGACAATCTCTCCTCTCAGCTTGGTGTGGTGACAAACACCTTTAATCCCAGCATGCTGGGAGGCTGAGGCAGTTGGATGTCAAATTCCAGCCCAGCCTGAGCAACTTACAGACTGTAAATGGTTTAGATCTAGAATGTACCCCAAAGCCTCATGTGTTCAGCTGTGGGGCTTTTGGAAGGTGGTTGGACATGGGTTGCTATATTCTTCAGCGTGTTAGACCACTGATGTGTTCACAGATAACTTGCTATTAGGAGGGTAGGCCTGGTTGAGGCCTCGTCACTGGAGGTGTGACCTGAAGGGGTTCATCTCCCTCCCTGGCTCCTGCCTTCTCTCTCTGCTTCCTGCTCACCATGATGTGAGCGACTTTCCTGCACCGCATCCTTCCACTACTATATCCTTCCCGCCTTAGAGGCAACCAACCATGGATTGAATCCTGGAAGAACTGTGAGCCAAAACAAACCTCCCTCCTTTAAATTGTAGGCATCTAAGGTATTTTGTCCCAGAGACAAGAAAAGTGACAAAGATACTACTTAGGGAACCCTGTCTCAAAATTTTAAACAGGCTGGGGACATAGCTCAGTATGAAGGCCCTGGGTTCAATGCCCAGCACCACCAATCAATCAATCAATCAATCCATCCATCCATCCATCAATCGTATTCCTCTTATTATTTAGAAAACTTTGTGAAGAATTAATGTTAATCCTTTCAACATCTGCTAAAATTCATCACAAGTCATTCTGTATTGGGTCTTTTTAATGAAACATTTGTGATTACTAATTCAATCTTCAGTTATTATAAATTTATTCAGATTTTATATTCTCTTCTTTGAAGCTTTTATATTCTCTTCTTTGAAGCTTTTAAATTCTCCCTGTGAGTTCCTGTCCGCTCCCAATGTGAAGGTTAGGGGAAGTTTCTGATCTTTCATGTTACAAGCTTCTCATAAATGCCTGGGGAGCTTCCAAGGTCTTTTTGTATTTGAAACAGGGAAAAGCTAACTAGAAGCTTTGAACACACAGGACGCGTTTGTCCAGTGTGAGCCTCACCAGTTAGGATGGAGCTCCCAGGGCCACCATCTCTGCACTGCTTCTCTCGAGTTGGTCCAGATCCCTGAAAGGAGCATCTGCCCCCAACTCGGGGCATGGTGCGAGGGGGGTGAGGGGATAAAGGACAGCCCACCAGTGTTCTGGAGCTGACTAGGGGAAGACAACTAGGGATACCCCAGCATTAAACAACCAGTCTAAGAATTTATTCCCCTGCTTCACATAAGCCCAAGCTCCAATGCTTTACCCCAGACAATAAGCCTCCAGTTTTCCTCTTGGGAAGCACAAGGATGTACTCTCTCCCTGTACAGACTTCTTTTTTGTTTGTTTGTTTTCCTTTTTCTGGTACCAGGAATCAAACTCAGGACTTTGCGCTTGCCAGGCAGGTGCTGTGCCACTGAGCTAAATCCCCGGCCCCCCCCCCCATACAGACTTCTGATAAACTCACACAGTCCATTACCACTCCCACCTTCCTCTTACAGCAACGAGAGGTGCTAACGCCCCCAGACGTCTGCTGTGTAGACTGGGGTGCATCTCAGTTCCCCCCACTTCTGGCCAACTCACACATCTCAGGTCTGCCAAGCCTGTTACTATCAGCCCATCTGCTTCCCAGCTTTCTAAACCTGATGACTTCTGTGTCTTTTATTGTCTTTGTTTGTCCTTCTGGGTTTATGCCCAATTCCTTTAGTGTCAGTTTAGTTGGGTCTCAGATAGCATTCTGCTCAGTCTGCTATCTGTAACCAAAAATCTGTTATTTAACTTTTGACTCTTTGTCAGACAGCACTTTCGTATCTCCTGTCATCCATCACATGGTGTTACAATCGTTATTTCTCGTTCCTACACTTCTCTCATTAGACTCTTGGTCTCTTGGGATGGGAACCAAGCAAGTCTTTTTTTTTTCTGGAACGGGGAATTGAACTTAAGACTTTGCACTTGCCAGGCAGGCGCCATGCTGCTGAGCTATATCCCCAGCCCCTCAAGCAAGTCTTTTTTGTCTGTGTCTATGGCACACGGCAAATGCCTATGAATGTTCCTGGGTTGGCTGGTGCCCATTCTGAGTCTGCATATGTGACAGGGGCCCCTCTCTGTCTGGGAAGCACCCTCTGGGCCTGTAGACCTTCTCGTCCTGGCCACTTGCTTTTCTACTGGATATGCTGAGAGAAGTTAGGCTAGACGGTGCATGGGCCAAAACCCGGGAGAGTTCCGATGTTTCCTGACGGGACTGGACACCCCTGGGGAAAGACTGCTGACTTCTAGAATAGGGTGTGAGGAACAGGGATCCAAAACAGTAAAGGCCTGAAAGAGAACACACTCCCAAGAGCCACTCCACGGTCCCTGTCCCTGCTCCACTACATTCTGACGGTGTGGGGTGAGGCAAGTTCCTTCATCGTCCATGCCTTAGATTTCCTCACATGGAAAATGGAAATAATAATAGGCTCTAAACTCACAGGGCTCTTGCATGGATTGGAGACACACAGGAAGCGCATCACAAAGCACAGTCACAGCCACTAGTACCTGAGGATGAAAAGCAATACCCAGGCAGAAGAGCACCGAGTGGTTTCCAAAGAAGAACAACGGTCTCCCAACTTTTTCACAGCGACCATTTGCCAAAACCTAGAGCTGTGGACAAAGCACTCTAGACCACATTTAAGCCTCATCTTGATCTACGTGATGAGTGGGTCCAGGTTTTCCAACAACCCACTCCAACTCCAGCCTTTCATCTGGACAAGCGCAGAGAGCACATGGGCAGGCTGGGGCCACCTGCTTGCTTTAACCATAAAGAAAACCTTGGCGGTAAAACAACTTGCACTACCTCTAGAGATCCGTAACAACTCTGATCCTAAGATCTGTGAAATGGGGGCAAAAGAGTACCCCTGTCTATCTCCTGGGACATTTTGAAAATGACAGTTACAAAGCACTTTTGAGGCACTAAAAAAAGGGGGGCCATGAGTGGAAGATATTAATAGAGTTGTAGGCTATGGAGAACAACTCTTTTCACACTCATTCTGCGTGTGTGATATATATCACACTCCCAAGAATAACTCAGGCTATTCTTACTCTGGATTGCAGTGTAAGCTCATTATTACTAGGTCAGCCACCACCTCTCTTGTCTTTCTCAGACCTGCCACTTTCCAACTTAAAATATTCTCATATCACATATGACTGGATCTCTAAGATGCAGTCGATTTTAATTTGTGCTGGACCAATCTGCCTGTTGCACATCTACATTCAGCAAAACTTCTACCATCTTTTGAACCTACAATGAAAACCCTGAGCAAAAAAAGATCTGGTTAAGACTTTTATTGTATGCTCTTGGCGACAAATTCCTGAATGGCCCATTAATTAAATATATACACAGGCTCTTTTATTCTTGGGGACCGTTTTTGGCACAGGTGAAATGTTTACCAGGTGAGGTAGACTGGAAATTGGCCAGGCTCCTTTATTCCTCCTTGGTCTCACATCCTCTGACATGTGACTGACCACAGCTCCTTCCACTAAGAGGCAGGGTCTGGACTGGCCTTTTCTCTTGCTTTGACCAATAAAGGCTGGTAGAAAGTATGATGTGGTAAGTTCTAAGCCCAGGCCACAGGAGGATTTGCACACATCTACCCACTGAGCACCCATCTGATTGCTGAGCAAATGGCTGGACAGACACTGGGTGACAGACAGTGCAGACCACAGCCAAGTCTACTCAGCTGCCACAGAGACATGACAGAGCCCAGCCAAGCCCAGGCACTCTGCACACCCAGCCTCCTGCTGACCTCTGGCACACAAGGTCCACCTGCACAGTAGTGGGGTAAATGCCTGTTGTTCTAAGTCATTGAAATGTGGGGTGGTTTGTCACGTAGCACTAAGGAATGTTAGCATCACCCTGCCCTGCTTTCACTCGGCTGCTACATTTTTCCTCCTACTTCTGAGCAACACACTAGGAAAAAAAAGACGATACAGCTTCTTGCTCTCGTATGTAATCTTTAACACAGAGCAGGCGGTTTTATGAAGCTAGCGTTTGAGAGATTTCCTTAAGAGTAGTTTCCATGGTGTTACTCTGGAAGACTTAACGAACGTGGAAGCTAATGTGCCCACTCCTTTCATCCTCACAACAGCTCTGTTGCACGAGTGTTACTTTCTATTTTATAAATGAGAAAACTGAGGCTCAGCAAAGGGAAAGAACTTCTCAAGGTCTCACAGCGGAAGTGGCTGGGAGCTGTAACTCGTACCCGGGCACTGTAACACCAAGGACCAGGCTCTCAAGTGTAACACATCCTGCCTGTCTCCTAGAATACAGTACAGTGTTTGTATGTCCCAACACCGATTATGGCCAGTCTTACCTGAGCCGGAAGCAGAAGCATAGTCGTCGTCGTCAATAGGGTACACTCCTGACGCATCTTCAATGGAACTGTTGTCAAGGTACATGTCTTTATCAGACGTCAGCTCTGCTCTCTGAGGAGGGAAGGACAAGGGATGCGGGGTGGTGAGACATTAAGAAACACGTTGCTTGTCTTCCTGTTCAGTTTACACTACAGGGACCAGACCTCCCTCCTCTGCTCCTCTGGATCCACACGTCTAGCCATCCTCTTACTCAGCACACTCAGACAACTCGGATTAAATCAAGAGCCTCCAGACTAATGCCCTAGAGGGAGGCCTGTGCAGCCTAACGCAGCAGAATGAGGACAGCTCAGAGCCCTAAGCACCTTGGGCTTCCTCTGTTCCACTCCACTAAACCTAACTGAGTTTCAGTTGTCCCGGTGCTAGTTATTAGGCAGCTCAGGCAGTGTTTTAGTCACCAGTGAGGTTCCTTTACTGCAAAGCTACAGAAACACCCAACCTGCTTAAGACTTTCTTGGGGATGTACATAAAGGTATTACGGCGCTTAGGCTAAAGACTGGGGACCCCATCAAGGAGCACCAAATGCTCACAGACCTGTCTGTGCTCAGCTTTATCACTACAGATGAGAGTGCATCAGTCACCCAGAGCTTTCTGCTATGACCCAGACCCACGGCGAGCCCCACGCGGAGCAAAGTCTGTGGGGCTCACCTGCCAAGGCTGAGAGCTTGCTGCCAACTCACTTCTAGGCTTAGCAGAGCCTTAATGACAAATACAGATAAACCCACAAGAGTGCTTTTTTTTTTAAATTACTGGCACTGGGTAATAGCAAATCGCAGGCTTAATATGAGAAGGATCAGTTAACGACGTATACCAGTTCCACAGCTTCTTAGCTCTTTAGTAGGAGTGCAGTATTAAAATCAACCTAATCCTGCCAAAGGGTAACATGCATGAATTTGAGCCGAGGTAGAACTTTTTTTTAAATGGTCTCGGTAAATTGATATTTTACCAGCAGCATCTCAGCCTGGCAGCTTCTAAGCATAGCTGGTGTTTGGAAACAGGCAGCAGTCATTATCGTCCTATTTTTAAAGATCAAATTGGATGTTTGTTCCTAAGAGGAATTATACAAAATGTTTCCCTTGCTTATGTTGGTTTTTCATGAGATTTCCACTTAAAATAAAACTTGGTTTCAGCAGACGCTGTGGCTGAGCCTTCCCGGGAGGTTGGGCATCCTTGGGAAGGAACAGCGGTGCTTTCTTCTCTCGGGTTTCAGCAGCAGGCTCCAGAGGCCGGAGCCTTGTAAATCTGAGCCCACCTTCTCCACAGGCCTTGGTGCCAATGGATAGCGAAATAGGGGATCGCTTTGTTGCAACGATCATACCAGCCTATTTTGAGGGCCCAAATCTTGGGACCCCTGTTCCAGCAGCCCGAGGTACAGGCACTGAGTGGCCAGGTCACCCTGAGCCAAGAGCATTCTGGAACCTTTCTGCCAGACACTCTGAGGCCATCCCGAATGATGCCGGTTTCCAAGGCTACACCATTCCAGACTGCGTTCCCAAAGCTTGCAAACTGTATCTGGAGCCCTGAGGTTCCATAGCTCTTATAAATAACTCAGCTGCCTGCTTAGAGAAGACTAAACAGCCAGCCCTCCTTATGTATGTCTGGGGCCTCCACAGCCGTGCATTCTAACCGTGGACTGACAATACTTTTTAAAACTAAGCCAGTACTGAGCATGTACAGATTTTTTCTTGTCATCACTCCCTAAACAATACAGTGTAACATCTATTCATACAGCATTTACACTGTTAGGTAGTGTAAGGAATCCAAAGATGATTTAAGGGGTGGTGGGTAGGCTACATGAAAATACTATGACATGTTATATAAGGGGCTCGAGCACCCATAGATTTGGGTGTGCAAGCTAGGTATAGGAAACAATCTCCTGTGGAAAACAAGGTATGATGGTAACTCATTCATCTTTAACTCACCCCCCGCACCCCGCCCAGTCAAACCATTGGGCTTGGCAGATAGTAGGAGGTCAGAGACCTATGACTGTGCTGAACCACTCTGCTCCCACCTACAACCCACCGTCAGTCTTGCTTATATCAAACCTTGTCCCGTTAACTGCTCCAGAGAACCTTCTTTTTCACGCTGTCAAATCTAACTTGACTTTCCTAGCACTTATGTCCCCTAGTTATAAACTCTGCTATTTTAGATTTTGTGGCACACGGACAACTTAAGACATACACCCTCACCATTATTTCTAATTGCTTCATATGTACTTGCCTTGCCTCTTGCTGAGAACACTTTGTTGATGCCAGTCTTGAATAACCTGTGTAGACTCGCTCTCTGTCTCTCTCCAAGTGCACGGATACACAATAAATATTTGTCAGCTGAGATTACTTAAACCAAATTGGCTTGACTACTTTTGATTCAGGTTTCAGAGCTGAAATGTCCCAAGAGGTCCAAGGTTCCTACAGTCAAAATCTCTCAATATTAAGCCTAGGAGATTACCTTCTCCACCTGCTAAGCCTTACATAGAATCTACTTCAGTAACTCAGACTCTTGAAAGGGAAAGATTCCGCCATCTACATTTTAGAAACTGGTTTCCCTTTCCTTAATGTTGGGTGGTTCTCATTTTCCCCTTGGCTCTGTCAGAGAAATCTGATGTGGCAAAGGTTAACATTAAGAAACTTAATCCTTATGTGTCAGTTAGATTTCTGTTCATTAGAGGATCCATTTGTCTGGATTAACACATCTGTCACAATTACCAGGCAGGTAGGCCCAAACTGCCTCCCAGAGAATCTAAGCCACCTCACCCATCAACCACACTACCGGGCAGCCTGAAAGGAAAAGTGGGTAACTAACTGTAAGGCCTGTACTAATGCCAGGCTTGGGGTGGCATCAGGGATGGTGGAGAAAAGCCAGGCATCCCTCACCACATGGTCCATGCAGGGCACCATGGTGGTCCCAAAATCCATGGGATGTTTCATGTCTGTGACAACAGCAAGAATACTGTTTTTTCCCCCGTCATTCAGTGTGGTATAAACAATTGTGACATCAAACTAAAAAGAAGCTATCTCCTACTGTGACTGCAGGGGCACCAAGAACCCAGAAGGAATTAGTGGTATTTCTATAGAGTCCCATTTAATAGTGAGAGGGCCCTTTGCACTTTCTAGCAGGTAATACTGTCTTCCAAAAAACAAAACAAAGCATAACACAAAGCTTTTCTAAAACAGGACAGACTCCTTCTATGCAGACTACACTCTATGCTGAGAAGGACTTTGCTTAAAGAAAGGAAATTAATTTGTACCAATGTTCCCTTTGAACAAATTGGTGTGTGTCTCTTCAAGGCCACGAGGAGGGGCGACTCAAAACGATTCTTTTACACCAGTCAAACGTGCTGGCCTCACTGTGCAGAACACCCAGGGATGATATATGCTCTGCACACACTCGCTTGCTCAACAGGACACAGCGAGGGGACAAAAGCAACTGGAAGAAAATGCGCAGAGGCACAGACCCGTGGTCTGAGCAGAGGCTTTCGTAACAGGGTTGTTTAATTTGGGACTGACCACGGCGGCGAGGTGGTGCCAATGCTGTTGGCTAACAGGGTTCAGAGTACAAGCTGGAAGGAAAACAAAGCCAGTCTTTCAGGCCTTTCTGCCTTGGCTGATGCAAGACGTGAATGCAGGAGAGCAGAGGGAAGCCCGGAAAGCAAGGCGGTTCCACAGAGGGGGAAATCCACTGCAGACGGAAATGCAGGTTCCACTTCCTGGTATGTTCAGCAAGGCAAGCAAGTGCCATGGGATCTTCATAGACCAAATTCCCAGGAGAAGCCCCACAGTGCCTACAAGGGAGGCAAGATATGTATTTGTCTCACTCCACCCCTACTGCTCTGGCCCAACAACTTCAGCACCCTCGTCATCTTGGGCCTGGACCATACAAAGACCCCCTGATCTGGCAGTGCCCAGTCCCTTACCTTGAAAGTTCTTCTCTGTAGAAGAACTGTCCTTAACATAACCACGCTGCTCCCCTCCCAAAACACCACTGTTTCTGACACTTCTAGGACAACATGGTAACTCCCCGGGAAGCGAAGACGCTCTTTCACTACTTGGCCTCTCCAGAATTCCTAGGTCAGCTGCTACTACCTCCTGCACCCAATCCCCAGCTCCAAGACAAGACACCACAAGAAAATCTGGTGACATCAATTTCCATCCTATAAATACCTAACAGTACATCAACCCCTTTAAAAATTGACCAAGGCAATAATGAGCTAGGCCTTCAGTATATGATGATTAAAAACTAGAGCTTAATACAAGGATGGAGCCAGACATGGTATGTGTTTATAATAAAACTAAGAGAAATGATTCTGTGCTAATCCTTTGGGCTTAGCTACGGCACCACAAAACACAACTTTAAGGCTTGATTTTAGGTATCAAGATTATCTGTCTATTCCAGAACGAAGAAAGGGACCATCACAGAACCCAAAGCTCTTGACACCTAATTCTGGGCTCTTTCTGCTGTACCAGAAAGTTGTATAACAAGAACGACATCAGACCATCCAACCTCGAGTTCAAAGGGATTAGCTACAGCTAAGGCTTCAGAGTTGATGATGTGCTGGGCATTTGGCATTAAGTGTTTCATAAACACGGCCTCATCTAATCATCAACAATCCCCACTGTAAACCAAGATGATCTGGCCTGAGGTCACACAGCTCAGGGCTGGGAAGTCTACCTTAGTGTGCCATATCTGTCACTGACAGTGACTTTCTCCCTTTACTTTGATTCGCATACCATAATATAAAAAGGCCCTGGGAAGAACTGCAGTAAGGAGCCCTGGTGAACTCTGATGGGCGGGAAGGCCCTCGGGTAAGTCAAAAGTGCTTGGGAGGCAGGGGATAAAGCTCTTTAAGAAACACCTTTAGTTCAAAAGTGTTTCAAATATACTTTATAATCATTAATTATACAAAAGCTAAATAAAATCTCTTTAAGGAACACTTGAATACGCATTCCACAAAGTAGGAAATTTTATGTATTTACACATGTATATTATAATGAAAAATAAACCCAATGCTGGGGGAAGGGGTAGGGGGCTACAGGAAAGTAGGATCATATTTGGAT